CAGCAGCAGTAACAGCAGCAGTAACAGCAGCAGCATCAGCATCACTTCCTGTCCCGTCGACACAGACTGATGAACAGAAAGTGAGCAGAGCTTTTACACTCTCTGTGTGACATTGACTACTCTGTCTACCCCACGTACCACCTGTGGTACACGTACCATAGTTTGAGAACCACTGGGTTAATATTCACCTCTTCAATACACTTTATACGTACAGTGTTAATCTGTGTTTAAGCTTTTTTTAATCATATAATATAAATTTAAATAATCTACATAAAGGTCTTCAGTGGCGTGCACGACCCCTACTGGCTCCCCAGAGTTACTGCAGGAGTCTAAAGTTTGATTGAAGGGTGGCTGTAATTGTTTTTTATTTTCATTTAATTTAAAAAAAGTGTGTGTGTGTGTGTGTGTGTGTTCACAGCTTCTCTACTGCAGCTGTCACACTCTGCTCGTCTGTGTGTGTGTGTGTGTGTGTGTGTGTGTGTGTGTGACGAGTGTTGCTGTTCACACCAGCTCTGCAGATTGTTCTGTGGTTCAGAGTCAGTTGAGCCTTTGACCCAGATACACCAGAAACCACACACACACACACACACACACACACACACACACACACACACACACAGGTATGAGGCCTAATCCTAATCCTAATCTTCATCCTGACTCCGACCACAGATCTCCACAGTGGACCTCCAGATACCAGTGATCAACACAGCTGCATTCTTCCACTCAACACTGTGTGGCGCTGTCTCCCTCTCTGGTTATTTTACCCATTTTTATAACAATAATATAAAATGTTTTCTTAATTATTATTATTTTATTTGATCAATATATTTTATTTGGACAGTAGAACTGACGCAGTTTCTTGGATGAAGGAGAAACGTCTTCAGTTTTCTTGAGGTGAGTTCCGTTGATTACTTTTAAAACTGCTTTTGAGATTCTTGTTGTGTGACTACAGCACCCCCTGCTGGACATCACGTTATCTCAGTATAAAACGATATTAAGTGCCATGCACCAGAGTTGAAATGGTGTAATTGTCTGATGGCAAAGGTCAAAGGTCAAACATTACATTTGAATATTTGTTGTTGTTGTTGTTGTTGTTGTTGTTGTTGGTCAACTGTTGGTCCCTGGCTGTGAGCTGCAGTCACTGAGTCCTGGACAGGCCTCAGGGCTGAATCACATTCTTCTGCCACACATCACTCATTGCCATGGCAACAGCCACAAAGGCCTGGGAGGAGTTTGGTTGATAGTTTGAGGAGTTGTTCCACAGCAGAGCTGGACTGGACTGAAGTGTTGGAGTAACCGCACCGAGGAGCCGGCTGTTTTCACCAGGTGACTGTCAGTGCTGCGGACTGTGGTCGACTGTTGTCGAGCGTTGTTCTCCTCTAACAAACTGGTCAAAGGTCAAAGGTCAGAGAACTTTGTTCCTCTTACAGTCGGTGCCATGTTCACCCTGACAGAGCTGGCCCCCGTCAGCCCCCATCAGAGCAGGTCCAAACTGCTGAAGCCCTGGTGGGAGGTGTTCATGGACCACCTGGGGGTCCTGATGCTGATGACCTCTGTTTTGACCTGCACCGTGCAGCTGTCCAGGGACACGGTGGTGTGCGTTCCCTCAGACACCTTGGTTTCTGACAACAATCACAGTTTCTCAAAGGGTGACAGTGTCGCTCTGTCGCCACGGAAACCGACGCACACTTCAAACAGAGTGGAGGCCGAAGGTCGCCGTCCTCATCTGGTCTACCAGCAGTACGTCTACGTCAGCCAGGTACTGGACGGCCGTCTGTTCAACCGTGCAAATGGTTTGACAAATGTTGCTGTGCTGCTTTCATGGCTCAAACATGTCTGCTGTCTGTCCATCCGTCCATCTGTCCATCTGTCTGTCTGTCCATCCGTCCGTCTGTGTTTCCAGGTGAGGACTTTGCTGTCGTGCAGCAGGAGATTATTATGATGAAAGACTGTAAACACTCCAACATCGTGGCCTATTTTGGCAGTTATCTCCGGTGAGTGTGTATATATTTATATATGTGTGTGTGAAGTTTGTCCATCCATCCATC